TTGGCCTAAATATTCTCATATCTATTTATCTAAATCTTATATCTTTTCTTCATATGTAAAGTATAGGCTGTTATACTTCTTATCATTTGCAGCTAGTGTTATCTATTTAAGTTTTGCATTAGATTGGGATAGTCTAAATTAGAAATTCAATTACTATTGAAATATTTCTAACGATTATCATAATACTATCTAAATAATTATTGTATTATAACATCTTTTCTGAAGATTATTTATTATTATTATTTTTTTAAAGTGGCCAAGTGTGTTAACGCAAGACTTTTTATTGATATATATATGCATATCCAAGTTACATTTGAGGACTCGTACAGGTTTTCCTGCAAATTATTCTTGTATAAGCACTTTCTTCTCAGAACTTTGGTTCTATCACATAATGATTTACCATAAGTAATTCTGAGAGGCAGATCTATGAGGTAGAAATCCTACTACTAGTTTTAAACTACCTAATCTATTCTAGATCCGGCTTATAAAGGAGGTGATGCTTAGGGGAGTTGGTTCAAATGCCTCCTTCCATCTTATCGTCTAAACCTCAAATCACAACTTGTATTAATTCTGGGCTCACACAAGTCATAACCATTCTTACCACCTGCAGCAGATATTACTCTTTTAAGCTCTGCACTGGATTGGAATAGTCTAGGCTAGGGCTCCAATTACTATTGATCAAATGTCTTTATGAAATTGGTTAGAATAGAGTATAGCTCTGTCTATACATCTAAATATTTTTGATGCTTCTTATTACTTGATGATCATTATGCATCAACCAAACAATTCTTACGCCACGTCACTTTCTTTGGAAATCACAATCTCAACACCCATTGGATTAGCATGTGAATTGGCTTCTTATGAGAAACAGCGTATTTTCAGGTTACGGCACCAGATACCGTATTGAATCTATTCAACTACCTTTACTTGGAGTTGAACTGGTATCCTATGATTTGACCTGTGGAGTACTAACCACTGTGCTATAGACCTACAGGTCTTTTTTTAAAGATTATAATCTTAACATCTACTAAATTAATATATGAAATGGTTTTATATAAGAAGCAACACATAATAGGTTTTATGTGAACTTTATACTAAAGACATCCATTACATTTTCAAATACCCTGAGATCTCCATTAAAGCTGATCAAATAATTAAAAACATCAATCAAATTCTCTATTCAAATAGCAACCAAATACCAATTTCAGATATATAGCAAATAGCCAAACTATCCTATAATTTTATAGATAAAATTTTTTCCTTAACAGACTTCTCCAATTGGATCGAGGCAGCTAATGAAGTCATAACCCAGTTATATAACTTTATTTGAAAACCACACTGCTTCACAGTTAATATGTCACCATCTACTGGAATTAAATGAAACTTCAACAAACCTTTTACACCATCTCACTCTTCTAAACCATTCAACAATCATGACTCTCAAGCCAGAATCCAACCAATTATTACCTCTCTTAAAGAAATTATAATCGATCTATCTAATATGGTTGCTAATATATTTATCCAATGTAAATTTAATTATCCTAAATGTATTCAAAAATTAATATCATTATTATCCAACACCTTTTTCCTTAATACTAAGTAGGTATTCATAGCTGCTTGGTTCTATTTGACAAGATATATTGTTTTAAATTTTCTTTTCAATATTAGTTAGATAGTTACTATAAGTAAGCTAGTATTTAACTCATTGTACTTGTATATAAGAGATGTTGTTTCTTTCATAATGTATACCTTGACATATACAAATCAAATAAAGAAATGATGTTTACTTACAAAAAAAAAACAAAAAAAAAACATATAATAGGTTCTAATATCAGATACTATATAGGTTTTATTTAATTATCTTTACTTAAAATTGAATCAGTATCTTATAATCTAACCTGTGAAGTATTAATTATTATATTATAGATCCACAGATTAATTTTTAATTTTTTTTATCAGTACTGTAAATAAATAAATATATATATACTGTATATATAAGAATTTTAATAATTTGATTTGATTTGATTTTGATTTTTAAATTTAAATTTAGATTTAATTCAATATATAAATTATATTTTATTATAATTTTTAATAATATTTTAAATCTTATACAAATCTATATAAGCTTATACAAGTCTGATTTTTGAAACTATAAATATAAGTAAAAAGTTAGAAATGAACAAGTTTGCTTGTAACATTATTAATTTAAATATTTATTTATTTATTAATAGTCAAATTAAATTAATAAATAAATTTTATATATACTGTATATTAACTTGAATTTTAAGATTAGTTACTATTAATATTTTAATACAAGTTGAAATTAATAGAAAAAATATAGTTTAAAATCTAATAGCAAAAATTTTAATAAATAATATTTATAAAAAACATTGATTTATTAATATAATTATTAAAATAACAAATTTTCAATATATCTATAAAAACTTAATATTTAAATTTTAAATTCTTATATTAATTTTAAAAAATTATTAATTATCTAGTATTAGAATTAATTAAATATATTTTAGATAGATATGTCTAAAATAATAATAGTTAATATTATACATGTTGCTGAAATTCATAGATTCTTAACGCAATTGATACAATTATTTGATGCAATTAATTGAGTCACTATTAAAACATAAATAATTGAGTCATAATGCAATTATTTTTAAGGATTTTGGGAATTAAGTCAATAGCAAAATAATTTATGCCACATATATAGTTAATATTATAAAAGATTAATATTAATTTATAAATTTTAAATATTATAAAAATATTTAATTTAATTTAAATATTATATATATATTAATAAAGTTTTATATCTAATATTTTTTTATAATAAAAAAAATTATATTAACAAATAACAAAGATTATATATTACAAATTAGAGATTTCTTTAAAAATATAACTTTTATTTTTATAGATTTTATAATTTATTTGATTTAATTTTAATTTTAATTAATTTTTATTTTTATTTTTTTCTTATATTTTTTAATTTTTTTTAAAATACAATAAATAAATATAATTATTATTCAATTAAAACAAGCTAATATTTAATTTATTGTAATATATAAAAAATATTGTTTTTTTATAATATATATCTTATTATATAAAAAATTAAATATTTTTATAATTTAAATAAAAATAAAATTATAATAATAATAAAACATAATTAAAAACCCTTTTCTGTACACAACTTTTTCTTAAAATTTCCTTTTTTAGTAATTATTTTTCAAAATTAAAAAAACAAATATTTTTTTTGCCTTTTAACTTTCCAAAGTCCTTTCATATTCTTTACTTTTATTATAAAAATCTCAAGGAAATTAAAAAAGTATGCTAGTACATTGGGATGTAACTTCTGGCCAAAGAAAAGCAAGTTTGGAGCCTTTGCTTTTTTTTTGGATTGCATAAGGAAAGGCTCATGGTAGCTACTTCTTCATAAATTTTCCTTGGGGTTCTTTCTATTTTCACTTCTTACAAATACATATTTCTTATTAAATAACTATATTCTTTTCTTAAAATTTTCTTTATAAACAAAAAAATCAAATCACATATTAAAAATATTTATATTATTGACTTGAAGGACCAGCAATATATTCATTGTTTACTTTTTACTATTGCCCAGTATAATTTGCTACATTACAAAAACCACCAAACTTTTTTCAAAAAAATTTTTTACAAAAAAACCGCAATCAGTTTACTCCTGTCAATTGATTACCATCTTAAAACCAATCAATCAAACACTATCAATTATTTAAACAAATTCATACTATCAAAATACCACCTACTGATTAATATAAACAAAACCAATTTTAGTGATTACAATCAGAACAAAATTATATCACTGACTTATAAACTAATTATCTTACCAACCATCAATTATATCAATACAATAACAACAATCACTACTATTAATAATAACTTAAGAAATGACTGTCAAGAGGACATGTCATCAACATAACAAATAACAATTACTACTATTAACAATAACTCAAGAAATAACTGTCAAGAGGACATGTCATCAATACTATTATATATTAAGAATTGTAGTATGGCTATTCCAAAAAGTATTATGATACTTCAGGGAAGTGGAACCACTAAAGCGATATATTGTTTTATTTATATTATAATTAGTTTTTTTGTCATTTTTCTTTTATCTAACATTTTCTTGTTTATTTCTTTTTTTATTTCTTATAGTCTTTTTATACATAAATTTGAGTAGATATTCATAGCTGCTTGGCATTATTTTTGATAATATATTGGTTTTAATATTTATTTTTCTTTGCAACTTAGATAGTTTATCATAAGCAAGCTAATATTTAACTTACTGATTAACCAGTCACATGAGATGTTATTACTTTCTTCATATATAAATTTTTCAATTTTACAATTATAATAAAGCAATGATGTTTACCTACTTAAAAAAAAAAAAAATTATAATAATAATAAAATAATTATATGTAAGTTTTAACAATTTTATTTGAATAAATGAAAATCAAATTTATAAAGTGTTTGTTTATAAAAAAAAGATTTTTAAACTAAGGTATAAGGCAATTGTTAATTTGATTTTTTTTTAAAAACAACTTTTTCATTTTCCATAATTATATCTAGAAAATTTTTGAACTTGTAAATAGATATTCTGTCATTTTATTTAATTTAACTCAAATACTATATATCTGTAATTTTATTCATGCTAACTAATAAAAAATATATGAAAAAATATTAATAGAAAAATGATATCATTTATCAACAAATGAATCAAAGTTATTAATTAGATGTAAATCTTGTAATAATTACGAAATTATGAATCAATGTTAAAAAAGATCGTCACATAAATTCCGATAATTTTTTTCCGGGCGAGTATTTTAACGTCCCCTGTACATGGATACAGTTGTATTTCACGTACTTCACGTGTAAATACCAGTTTCTGCATTGACGCATTTAATGAGTATATTATATGACGTACGTAACTCATTAAAGTGACTTTTACCACAAAAATGACGTACTCTGAACGGGCCACAAAATTTACCAACAAAGTTGCCCGTGAATTATTCGAGATAGTAGAACGCAAGAAAACAAATCTTGCGCTTGCTCTTGATGTGACCACTAAACAAGAGTTCCTTAATATAACCGACAGCGTAGGTCCTTATATATGTTGCTTGAAGGTAAGATAGCATATACGAAAATCGAGTGATAATTTTACCCAAAAGATAATTCCTTTTACTCTTTTTTTAGACACATATCGATATCTTGGTGGATTTTGATGATGAGCTTATTGAACAACTCAAAAGACTGCAAGCAAAACATTCCTTTTTGATCTTTGAGGACAGAAAATTTGCAGACATCGGTAGCATTATGATTTTCTTTGCTTTAGGAAAACGCGATATTAGATTAACAAATTTATGACATTTTTACTAATGATTCATCAGGTAACACGGTGAAGCATCAATATTCGCAGGGTATCTACAAGATCTCGGAGTGGGCTGATATCATAGATGCTCACAGTCTGCCGGGTGATGGAATTGTGTCCGGATTGAAAGAAGTTGGTCTTCCCTTGGGTCGTGGGTTATTACTTCTCGCTGAGATGTCATCGAAAGGAAGCTTGGCTACTGGATCCTACACGGACGCTACCGTAGAAATGGCGCAAAGGCATAAAGATTTTGTTATAGGATTTATTGCTGGTAGGAAGCTTTTGATGAATGATGACTTCGTCACTATGACACCAGGAGTTGGACTAGACGTTACTAAGGATGGATTAGGCCAACAATATAGGACACCCAGAGATGTAATACTTGAAAGTGGTAGTGATATAATCATTGTGGGACGCGGGATATACGGAAGTGGCAAGGATGTGATAGCAGAGGCTCGACGTTATAGGGATGTGGGATGGAATGCGTACGAAGAGAGAATAGGAAAAAAATGAATATGTTTTCACACCTTCAATAAATTTTGTCACGTGACATTATTGTGCATAAATTAAAGAAATTTTCACAAAAAAAAATTTTTTAAAACAAAAATGTCCGATTACTTTACGCTTAATGATCCCCTAAACTTGATCTTACGTCCAGATTCGGACGAAAATCAGGAGAATTGTAATGATTCGCGTAAGTTTTCTGTAGTCTATTAATAATATGTGCACAACTCATACACACTACAAAATCCAGAACACCCGGCTGAACATTCTGCCTCGAGCATTTCGCAGACAATATGCAAGTTATTCTTTTTTTTGACTTTAAAATGTAAAGGCCGACCACTTATAATTTTTTTTTTAGTGGCAAATCCTTCGGTACCAAGCAAAGAACCTTGTCAAACGTGTCATAGTAATGAATGGAAATACAAATGTCCAAAATGCGAATTTCTATCATGTTCTTTAATATGCACGAAATCACACAAGGAAAAATACAACTGCGATGGAATTAGATCAAAAATTAGTTACATACCGCAGGATAAGTATGGCTATCGAGAGTTGATGAGCGGTCAGTGTCAATTGAAAATTTTTAGGCTACTAGTCCTATATTTCAGTAAAATAACTTCTGTTTTGTTAGATTATGTGTGGCTTGAAGACATCTCACGTGTAATCGACTCCGCTCATCGAACTAGAATTGATCAAAAGCATGTGACACTTAAATTCAAGAAAAGGTATAGCAAAAAATCACAAAAGAGGTGGTCAAAATTACATAAGAAACAGTCGACGATAAATGATTAAGTATCTCTCCTCTTTGGTCGATGTGGATTACGGAAATATGGAATACAAATTGGAAAATTCATATGGAATATCGACATTTATTAATTAAATTTCGTGTAAATAATAATAAATTTCGGATATTTAATTTTTGATATAAATTTTACAATATAGAAATGTTATTAAATAAAATATAAATCCTGTTGGTTAATGTCTTCTGTTAAAATAATATTTGTTAATCACTTCAAGCTATCGATAACACAGTTTGTAAACTCGGTGTTTGTTGCATTTCCTCCTAGATCGCGCGTAAGATGTTTACCCTCGGCAATTGTCTTGAGAACAGCGGATTCAATGGAGTCAGCGAATTCGTATAGACGCATATGACGAAGCATCATTATTGATGAAAGTAGCAACGCAGTTGGATTCGCCAGATCTAGGAGATAGTCGACATAAGAATTGTGATAAATATAAATCATTTACTTATCACCTTTGCACCTACCTTTTCCAGCGATATCAGGTGCAGTTCCATGAACTGCTTCAAAAATTGAAGCTTCAGCACCAATATTTCCTGATGGTGTAAGACCAAGCCCACCGATCAACCCTGCACACATGTCTGACAAGATATCACCGTATAAGTTGGGCATAACCATCACCGTGTCGGAATAGCGAGCAGGATCTTGGACGATCTTTATTCAAACAAGATTAATTAATTAATAGAATAAAAATATGATATGATATTGAATGGTACGAAGTGACACTCACGTGAAGACACGCACGATCTAACAACACATCGTCGAATTCAACATCAGGGTATTCTTGCGCTACCTCATGACAAACATCCAAGAACAGACCATCGGATAATTTCCTATAACATGGTTATAATTAAAATTTATTTCAGAGCGCACAGTAAATTTTTAAATCAACCATACTTACATAATGTTGGCTTTATGTATGGCTGTAACTCGGTTTCGACCAATATTCCTTGCGTACGTGAAAGCATAACGAGCACACCTTTCCGACGCCTCCTTAGTAATCAATTTGATAGATTGAACGACACCGTCAACAACCTTTAAGAAATAAATAAAATTAATAATGAAGATTGCATTCATTCATAAAAGTTTTAAAAGGAACACAAAAAAAATTACCGTGTGTTCAATACCAGAATATTCTCCCTCTGTATTTTCCCGGATCAGTACGGTGTTGACATCATCGTAAGGCGTCTTATACCCAACCACAGACTTGCACGGTCTAACGTTAGCGTAGAGATTAAACGTACGGCGAAGCGTAAGATTGAGGGAAACGTGACCTTTACCGATCGGAGTTGCCAGGGGACCTATTGGCAAGATAAAACAAAATGTCTCGTTTAATTCATTTTATCCTTATTTTTAATGCTTCGGCATACAACTATGAATTTAGTACCTTTTAATGCTATCTTATTTTTTTCACAGACAATAGTGCCTCTTCAGGAATGACGGTCTTTCCATCCTTAATAACTGGTGTAACATTTACTGGCTCCCATTCAATTGGAACCTGAAATTCATACAAAAAAATACATGAGAATGTTCTGAGTAAAATGAAATAAAGATCAAGTAAAAGATGAGCGCGTGATATCAAAAACTCATTATTACTCTTCGAAAAGTATTCATAAAAAAATAGAATTTTCAAAAAATCTGCCTACGCAAAGGATAAATTCTACGGCTAACCTCAATTCTCAAAACTTAACACTGATATCTTACTCCAGCAGCCTGATATATCCGTTCCACTGATTCTGATATCTCCGGGCCTATGCCATCGCCAGGTATAAGAGTCACGGCAAAATTTCCCTTTGTATCGAAAAAATATTTAAATATAACGTTTTTTTTTTTTCGAATCAGTTGACACAGAAGTACAGGAAATGTGAAAAAATAGTTACATTCGCATTCTTTGGTGCATCGTATACTTCGGTTAGAGAAGTTCCGGAGGCAAAGGAGCGTAAACATATTGGCTAGTAATTATCAGATAACAGATTAGCTTTACACACTGGAACTTAATTCGAAGTTTTCCACTCAACCTTGTATAGGCCTAAGCTTTTCGCGAAAGTCAAAGTCCTGGTCCGAAACATCGTAAATGACTGATGATCAATCTTTTTAATTTGAGATATGAATTATTTAACCAGATTCCTAGATGATGATACGGATATATCACGTGCCAGCGCAAAATTAAAGTACGTAATGCCTAAATTGCGTCAGCGGTTTCGCAAAGATCTACCGTTTGCAGCTTCGAGTCGTATATAATGAATCTTCTTTTTTTTTTGGTTTCGTGATCACTCTCTTAACGTCACAAGTAGAACATCTTCGCATAATCAAATCACCGATTTAATCCATTATGTCTTCCGGTTCCAATTCAGAAGCTGAAAGACGCGCCAAGGCCTTACAAGACTATCGTAAAAGTTTGTTGGAGCACCGTGAAACAGAAGCAAAAGTCAAAGAGAGTGAGTAATGCGAACTTGACGAGACACCTGTTTTCTGCCTTTCGAAAGAGTAACATTGTTTTAGAAAAGCCTATAGAACGTTTTGTTTGACGGTTTATAGTCGTCTTTAGCCAGTGTTTGTCCTTCCTTAACAGACATGTATGTTTACAACGTTTTTACGTTGTCACGCCCTTACACGCGAAAAATATTTTTCGTTGTAAGAGTTAATAATGAAATATGAACGTTTCATGTATACTTATATAAAGAAAATGCAACGATATGCGAATCGACTTCTAATTCTGCATTACAATTATTTCATAGTTCGTCTTGGGCTGCGTGAACTCGAGAAGCAATACGATAA